GCTTGAGTGTGGGCGGGGCTGCGTGACTCACTCTGACAAGTGGAGTGTGTCTCCATGGACAGTGTGACTCTGAGGCTAAGTCCTAAGCTGTGGCTTCCTTGCTCCCTGGGGTCACTCACTCTGTAGGAAGCAGGTCACTATGTTGGGGCACATGCACAGCCCTAGGGAAAGATTCATCTGACGAGGAGCTGAGGCTCCCGGCAAAGAGCCCGGAGAACTTGCCGGCCACACAAGGGAGCCATCATGGAAGTGGAACTTCCAGCCCCAATCAGGCCAACATCTTAACCTGCAATTTCTGGAGACCTGAGTCACAACCACCCAGTTAAACTACTCCTGAATTCCTGAAAAATGTGTGAGAAGATACTGTTTATTGCTGCTTCAACCCATAAACTTCTGGAGTAATTTACTATGCAGGGACAGATAACTAATACAAAAAATAAGGCTATTTCACATAAAAAACCAGGTAGCTGGTTTCTTTTGAAAATCAAGATTGGAAAGCATTGGACCTGATTTTTTCTTAATTGATGTATAGTTGAATTTACAGTGTTGTGTTAGTTTCTGGTATACAGTGCAGTGATTTACATATATATATATTCTCTTTCATATTCTTTTCCATTATAGGTCATTACAAGCTATTGAATATAGTCCCCTGTGCTCTACAGTAGGGCCTTGTTGTTTATCTATTCTGTATACAGTAGTTTGTATCTGCTAATCCCCAATGCCTAAATTATTCCCTCTCCCACCCCACCTTTCCCCTTTGATAATCATAAGCTTTGTTTTTTGCGTCTGTGAGTATCTTTCTGTTTTTGTACATAAGTTCATTTGTGTCCTTTTTTTTAGATTCCACATATGAGTGACATCATATATTTATCTTTGACTTCACTCAGCATGATCATCTCTAGGTCCATCTATGTTGCTGTAAATGGCATTATTTCATTCTTATTTATGGATGAGTAGTATTCTATTGTGTATATGTGTATATATATATATATACATATGTACACACCACAACTTCTTTCATGTCTTGGCTATTATAAATGGTGCTGCTATGAACATTGGGGTGCATGTACCTTTTCGAATTAGAGTTCCCTCCGGATACATGCCCCGGAGTGGGATTGCTGGATCATATAGTAAGTCTACTTTTAGTTTTTTAAGGAACCTGTGTACTGTTTTCCACGATACCTACACCAACTTACATGCCCACCAGCAGTGTAGGAGGTCTGCCTTTTCTCCACAGCCTCTCCAGCACTCATCGTCTGTGGACTTTTGAACGATGGCCATTCTGACTGGTGTGAGGTGCGACCTCGCTGTAGTTTCGATTTGCACTTCTCTGATGTTGGCAGTATTGAGCATTTTTTCCACACGCCTGTTGGCCATTTGTATGTCCTCCTTGGAGAAAAGCTTATTTAGGTCTTCTGCCGTGTCTGAATTGGGCTGTTTGGTTTTTGTTACTAAGTTGTATGAGCTTGTAGTATGTTCTGAATACCTACTTTTAACAGACTGCCTCTTGACAACACACGGTAATCGTCCCTGCAGCAGAGCTGTGCTATTTAGAAGGTAATTACAGGGTGTACTGATCTCCTCATCTTGTAAGACGAGGAGCCACCCCAGACCTCGCCTTGCGACACCTGCGAAAACCCCATTCCCTAGTAAGGTCACAGACACAGGTACAGCGGTTAGGCCTTTGGCATATCTTTCTGGGGAACAAAATTCCACCCGTAACACAGGGTTTATGAAATACTGGATTCGTAGCTTGCTTCGGTAGGATGGAGCGGAACTGGGGTCAGACTTAAGGCCTGATGACTGTTTTCTCCTTTTGAAGCTGACAGCACCCATTAGGACGGCCCGGCTGTAGAACCCTGCTGGGATGGAGGCCCGGGGAAGTGACCAGTGTGTCTTCCTGCATAGCCTGTCCGTCTTACATCACAGTCCCTACGCTGTCAATCCCCAGTCGTTGAGGTCTTCCACTACCAATAGTCATTTGTGTTTACGCTTCTTTTCCTGAAACAATAGGGCAGTTAATGTCCTTAAACATTATCTTTGCCTCTGGGGGCTATTGTTGTTTTAGAACTTTAGGCTCCTCAGGAGGAGTTGCTAGGTCAAAGGCATGTGCAGTTTCTGTTTTCCCTAGAAGCTTCAGTTTGCTTTGCCTGATTATCAGGGATATGTGAGTCTCTTTTACCCCCAGGTGCCATTGCAGCCTCGTAGCTTAAAAAGTGGTTTCCTAGGCGTGATGTGATCATTGCATTTCAAATATTTTCTTCTCTTGAACAACATGGTGAATGGAAGATGTTGCCTGCCACATCAGTAAACAAAGGATGTTGCAGCCATCAAGCCACCATAGCTGACCCGACGGTGAGCCCTAAGGGAACTCAGGGTGAGAAAAGGACAGGATACTGACCCCAGGTAGCTAAGGTGCAGATCCAAGGAGTGATTTCAGTAAGTCCAGACTTTGAATCTTGCCGCATATAGAAAAGTGCTGAATTCACTAACTTGAGATAGCTGGGGGTTTTAATTAGCCATAATCTTTTGATGTTCTGACTCCCTAGTCTTTGTTGCAAGAATCTCTATATATCGTGGCTCCTCCCTTACCTCTTGGGAGCAAGTCCTTCAGAACCATCGGAGGGTCCGCCTCCTGGGCTTGGAGTCCTCAGAGAGACTGCTCAACAAAACACAATTCTCAACTTTCAGGTTGTACATTTTCCAGTCGACAACAGCAATGGAAGAACTAAAGTCATGACCTGTGAAGTCAGTCGCCGTGTTTCCTTTCCATTCACATAAGCAGATACATGAAATCCTTCTCTGAAAGATAAGCCAGGTGGATGCATAGTAGGAAGGACGGTGACCCCAGGGATGTGCGTGCTTCACTCCCGGGAACCCGTGACTGTGTTCTCTTCCACGGCAGATGTGGTCAATGGTATGGACCTTGAGTTGGCGTGACCACCCAGGTGGACCTAGTCTGCTCGTGAGCCCTACAGAGTGGAGAACCGACTGTGGTCAGAGTAAAAGCTGTGACAGTGAAGGGCCAGAGCAATGCTGCACTGGTAGCTTTGAAGATGGAGGAGGGGACCATGAGCAGAGGACAGCGGGCGAGTCCAGCAGCTGGGAAAGAGAAGGAAACAAGGTCTCTCCTAGAGCCTCCAGGAAAGGCTGATTTTAGCCCAGGGAGACATCTGGCCCCTAGGACTGCAAAATAATAAATTTGTATTGTTTTAAGCCACCAAACTGTGGTAACTTTTCAGGGCCGCGATAGGAGACTCATGCAGAGTGTGACATCCTCCAGCTATTTCCAGATAAGTAGTCAGCCTCATCTTCGGAAGGGCAGCCTGTTTCTAAACTTGACATAATGAAAAATTCAGCAAGGCTATTGCATTTCCAAATACCTTAAAGATTCATCCTCATTTAAATTTACTTTCTGTACCCCTGTCAGGAGAAGAAAAAGTGAATTCTAATCCAATCTTTTTAAACAATTTTATTTATTTTTAAAATTACTTTTAACCCATTTTTCAACTCGTAATCAACAATCCTATGGTCGATTGACAATCATTTTTGGGGGATATGACTTTGAATGGAGTTTTAAAAATGTCCCTTAGCATTACCTTAAGTCAAATAAAAATAAATTAATTTAGAATCACAGAATTTAAAAATAGGCAGGAGCCTTGCGAGGTTCAAATTCAAACTCTGCTGCTGGCCAGACATTCACTAACCTGTAATTTGCCATAACTCACCCACCACGGTTTATTTTGGAATGAATAAATGTATTAAGCAAATTTTGCAGCATGGCTTTTTCAACAAATATTTACTAAACACCTCATATGTGCTGGGCCCCATCCTAGGTGTTGGAGATAAATAGTGTGCAGAGTGGGCAAAAATCTCTGCGCTCCATGGAGTGGACAGTCCAGAAAAGAAACATAAACAATAAACAAGACACAAAATAAGTATGTATGTGACATAGCTGGTCAGAGGTTTGTAGGTGTTGAGGGGGAAGGAACAAGGTAAGAGGGTAGATCAGGACAGGCCCCACAGAAGAGGCGTCAGGGAGCCAGAGTCTTAAAGGACCAAGCTACACAGATATCTGGGGAAGGACCGTTTGGCCAGGAACAGCCAGTGCAAAGGCCCTGAGGTGGAACATGGCTGTCTTGGGGTGCATGGAGGGAACAGTGGAGGGAAACCAGGCTCTGGAGGTATTAGAGGATTATCAGATTTTGGTTTCTACTCCGAGTAAGTAAATAATTCACACACATAGGTTATAGACTGTCCCATACATCTACACACCATGTTACCAATATGCTGTAACCTCCAGAGTGTTGGCTTAAACTTCAGCAAACTGAAATCTTCATTTTACACACCTAAGATTTGTTAAGATTTGATGCTTTCATCAATTTTTAAAATAAGAGCAAATTTTGCCATATGCAGTTTTAGGCAGTTAATTTTATGTTCATGATTCTTTCTCCCAAGTCTACTTTTCCTGAGTATTTTTTTTTGCTCTTTTTGCTGTTACTAGCCAGATACAGCTTTTCAGTCTGTTTTTATAATTTGTAACAAATTTTATCATGTGTGGTTTAGATTTCTTTATTGCATATTAATTATTTCTAACTGTAATACGCATAAATTGATTAACCATATATCATTCATATTTATTGTTTACAATTAAGAGGGCAAATGATTAGGGTGAATCAGTCTCTGGAGGCATAGTGGGGTTGAAATGGAAAAGTCA